AATTTCATCTCATTTTTATAACCTCTTAAATATTTTGTGATATTCTTCCTTTCAAATTAATCAATCTTATCCACAACCATTTGTAATGCTTTTTTTTTTCCATATCCTCTTTGCCATCTTTAACTTGTTGCTGTTGTATGAATAAGGCAAATGCCTCAAACATGCTTGTAGAGTTGGGATCAAAATACATACCTTGTCTTCCAATTGAAACTCAACTTCCAATTCTACTTGAAGCACCACTTTTGACTCCACTTGAAGCACTATTAAAACTCTTCCTTCCATCCTCTTACCTTCTTTCTCTATAATTCAAATAAACTATGAAAAATTTCCAAATACCTTCTACCTGAAGCTTTTCATGTTGGGTTCACCAAAATATGTCGTATTACGTGGCATTTGGCTTCAGAATGCATTGGGTACCTGGCTATAGAAGATAAAAAAAAAAAAATACAACAACAAGTTCTAACAATTCTAATAGATTTTTAAACAAATTAGAATTAAAGATTAGCAAATATAATCAAACATAAAATTAAATTCAATCAAAATTTCAAAAGAATTATGTAAGAAACATAAAATAATCTTAAAGAACCTTTAAAAAAATCATAAAGAAATAATATAGAATTAAAAAAATATACTAAAATAGAAATCTTAATAAAATATTAAAATAAAAACCTTAATTAAATCCTAATCAAATTCTAATAAAATCCTAAATAAATCCTAGACAAATTCTAATAAATCTTAATCAAATCCTAATCAAATCCTAAACAAACTCTAAAAAAACCTTAACCAAATCTTAATAAAACTCTAAACAAATCCTAAACAAATCCTAATCAAATCCTAAATAAATCCTAATCAAATCCTAAACAAACTCTAATCAAATCCTAAAAAAATCCTAAATAAATCCTAATCAAATCCTAAATACATCCTAGTCAAATCCTAACAAATCCTAACTAAATCCTAATCAAATTCTAACCAAATTCCAACCAAATCCTAGTCAAATCCTAAACAAATCCTAATCAAATCTTAAATAAATCCTATTCAAATCCTAAACAATCTTGACCAAATTCTAAATAAATCTAAAAAAAAGATACCTAACCCTAATCAACTTTACACATACCACAACCAAACCCTAAATAATCCCAAATAAATCCTATAGTAGATTTAAATCTCAATAACTAATGAATGAACTATTGATTTTAACTCAAATTTTTCACACCTCTTCACAATTAAGTTAAAAACAAGCATAAATTTTTTGAAAAAGATCAATTTCACCAAAAAGAAGATCAACTCTAATATTTTTTTGGATGTTGGCTGGCCTCTTTCTTCAATCTGAATGTTGAATTTCCAGTGTCAATATCTCCTCACCGAACCATTCAATTGATTTCAAATTTTTTGCATATGTAGAAAAATAAGTCTATTATATATATACATAATTTTTACTCCAATTCAACTAATAGATTACAAGAAATCTAAGAAATCCTCATTAGACCTAAAACTCTATTTTTTGAGATTCTAACCTACTTAAACCTCAATAATCCTTGATCCAACCTTTCGATCAAGCTCAAACTCACAGCATATATTGAATACATATATATCCACAAATCTTCAAAGTTTTACTTGTAAATCTATTGCCAAACTTATAAAAATTTTCAGAAATTATTATCTACTTTATTTCACAAATCTAGAGTCACCCAAAACAAACCTTAACTTTGCAAAGCTCTTACAAAGTCAATATACACTCAAATCACCCCAAATCAACACTCAAAGAAAATCTATCAAGTTAGATCTTAGACCTATTTTCCAATCTCCAAAAGAATCCTAGAATCATAGTCGGAGCTCAGTTTTGTGCCTTGAATCTGATTTCGATCCTATTTCATAACTAGCCCTCTCTAGGTATCAATGTCTAGCTTTTCTAGATAATATTTCCTAGAAACTACTCTTAATTTCTTTTTAAAGTTGCCTATATTTTTTATTTTTCTAATCTATCTTATTTTGCTCTATTTGTGATCCTACAAAGTCAATAGAAGCCTATTTTGTAAAAAGGCAGTATTAGCACCTTTAATTTTTCTACCTCTTGACTATTATCTATTTTTTCAAGATAATTTTTTCCAATATATTTGAAATAAGATCTTCAAAAATGTGATATTTTCTTCATCCTTTCACCTATTAGCCATTTTACATCATGATAATATCTCTAGTTTCTTTGTCTTTTGGCAATAGCCATTTTAGTTTTTTTTTTAGTATACATACTTCTCTATTTCTATTTTGTCATATTTCTTTAAATGAGCTTCATTTGATTATTTGCTTTCATTGAGTTCTTGTCTTTAACATAAAGTAAAAGAAGATGTTAAATTTCTATATGAAAAATTGATTTATACAAATAAAGAAGAAAGTTTTGAATATCATGGATTAGAAAAGAATTTACTACAAAAGTTGGGAGACTTGTGTTACTCAGAAGATAGAGATTCAAAACTATTACCAAACACAAAGGATCTTGTAATTATAGAATACATAAATGAATAAATTTTTGGAGAAGTTTATAAATCAAAGTGGTTGAAACTTCTCTATTCAACTAAAAAGATGAATCTTGATATTTATGAATTGTTTATCAAAGAAATTAGTATTTTAATAAATTTAGGCCATTCGAACTTGATAACTTATCATTTTTTAATGAAAGATAATGCCAATGAAAGAATTAAATATTTTATTAAAAAAGCACAAGAAATATTATTTATACTTGGAAATAGAATTGATACAAAAAAAAATTGTGCAATATGTTTGAAAAAGGCAAAGAAGTATCTTATGTTTCTTTTATTGATCTTATGCATCAAATTACTGAAAGAATGTATTATTTTCATGATATGCACATTATACATTGTAATTTAAATATTATGGAATCAAAGGTTACAAATAAGACTATTTAATATGATATTGTAAAAGAAATTGACTTTGGAATATACAAGATTGAAGTTAGAAGAAATCCAAAGATATAAAGTATGATTATATTTATAATAAACTTAATTATATGGATTTGGAAGTATTAAAAAAAAGATTTCAAACAATGGCAATGTATCTTTTTGAAGTTGATGTTTATTCATTTACAATGGTATGTTCTAAGATATTTTAAAAAAAAAGGTCTATTTGATAATATTATAAATAAATAAAAAAAAAAAGACCTTTGAAAGAATTGAAAATGTGAAGGACCAAAGTTACCTTCAAATTATAATGACTTGATTGAGCTTATCTAAGAATGTTGGAGGTTGAATCTTTTATTTTGGCCAAAGTTTGTAAATTTTTCAGTTAAAAAAATATATATTTTTAAATTTTAAAGTATAGCAAATGCATTATATTTTAGAGTATCCAAAAATATTTATTATTAAAATTTAGAACTTCAAGTATATAATAGATTGTCATTCTTAAGACTTATACTGAAAATTAAATTAAATATATAATGAATTAATTATATTGATTGTATTTAATATTTATACATGCTCTTCAATGCTACAATGATATTTAGATGTCTTACTATGAGATCTAGTTAATAAGGCTAGATTAAAATGTAGTATAAATATCATTAAAATATGGTATAAATAAATTATTTTACAAGTTAGTTTGTAGGATATAGAATTGTGGACTTTGACTTTAAGATTTTGACTTCTAATATAAAATTTTTTTTAAGAATTTTAAAAATAACATTAGATCTATTTTTAGATTTTATATTCTATTTACTATCTTTTTATAAACAAATTAATTTATATTGTGAAAAAATTCAAAGATGAGGCAAAAATTACATAAATCATCTTGCTTCTAACCATAATAAAGAAATTGGCTTTCTTATATTAAATCTTGTTGTTGTGCTTGAGTGCTAATCTTCTCTCTTATTTTTTGAAGTTGACATTTTATATGCTTGCTACTTCACCTTATTGTTTGTTTAGGAAAAATTAGTGCACTTTTCACACAAATAGAAGCTGCAAAAAAATTTCTTCCATGAATCTTATTTGCAAATTTTTTAATATAAAATATCATTGGATTTCTTTTTATATTTTCTATTTTAAATATGTAATTGAATTATTCCCAAAATATGTAATTTTGTAGATATTGAGGATCTGACCATTTTAATTTTTGAGTTGAATTTGCAAATGGATAGAATTATGAAAGTTTTTTATTTGATCTATCTTCTTATTTTAGGGATCTACATATTCAATAGTGGACTTAGAATGTTCTACAAGTTTTTTAATTTTTAGATATAAATCCTTTAATTTTTTACTTTTTTTTATTAACTTTATTCTTACTTTATCTACTTCCTTCTTTGTTTGTATAGTGATTCTTTTGATCCTATTGGTATGTTTAGAATCTTCAACAAGTCTATATTTTAGGAGATATGGGATTTTCAAAGTTGCAAATTTATCCTTTGTATAATATATGAAAAAGAATAATAAATAAATAAATAAATAATACATATATTCATTACTTTGAACATATAAAATAGCTTTCATAGCATTAGTATCTAGTTGAAATTAAATTAAAAAAAAAAAAAAAAAAAAAAATTGTGTACACTGGAGTGTATTTTTCTTTTTTACCATTGAGAAAATGAGGAAGGTTAATGTACATGTATAATACTGGTAGTGGCTTTCCAGCGAAGGAATAACCTCATCAAACTACTCCACCTTCGCCATGTAGCAAACTAAACCCGCAGGCTTCACATCGCTCGAAACTGTCGGAGTTACGAGTAGGTCATAAGGTCCATTACCTTTCCGACCTTATAATGACGCCGTCGCAGTGATGAAAAGAGACGTCGAAGCGGGTGACGGGGTTTTGGAGTGACGGCGTGACGCAGTCGGTGGGATGGACGGGGATGACGTAGGGGATGTCGGGAAAATGTAGTGACGCCGTTACGCCGTCGCGTGACCGTTGAAGGCTTCGAAGGGAATACCAATGTGCCTCCTCATCAAGGCCGCGTCATAATTAGTTCCTTCTGGAACAGATACCATGGAAAAGGTTTCCTGGTGCGCGGAATTCGCACCGAGAAAGCTCCTTCGAGTGCACAGCACCTACGTCATGAAAGGTGTTGGGCCTGAACCTGGCGCGCCAGCATTGACAGAGTTGGACACTTCCTGATGCCTCCCTATGGGTACCCACCATCATCTCGGAACCGTGATGGCAACTCCAACTAATCAATTGGTTCTCCCTCAGGCAGCGAATAAACCACGGCGGCAGCTGGGTTTCAAAGTCAAATTGCGCGGGGGTGCAGACCTTCAACTGTCACCAAGAGCTCCGGTGCCTGATCACGCTGTTCTGTTGGTTTCGAATTGCAGAGTCTTGCTTGGTGGATCTGGTGAGTGAGCGGGAGCGCTCAGAGCTCATTCTCCAGTTTCCCCCAGTCATGATATTCGCCGAGAAGCGCACCCCAACGGTGCCCGCATTTCTCTACTCGATCGAGGCTCGCAGGACTGGCATTTCTGCTCTCCCTTCGCTGTTCCAGACCTTGACCACGGAGGCCAGCAGCAATGTGGCCCCGGCGTACACCTCCTCCAGCTTGTTCAAGCAGGTGGCCAGCGCCGCGAAGACCTCCACCGGGGTGGCGTCGTCGGTGATGGTGCCCTCCCCCAGTGAGCCGGGCAAGATTGTGATGTTCTCGGGCGAGTACTACCGCGCGTGCGCCGTGGGAGGGATGATGTGCTGCGGGCTGACGCACATGGGGGTGACGCCCATCGACGTGGTGAAGTGCAACATGCAGATCGCGCCCGAGAAGTACAAGTCGATCTCGAGCGGGTTTTCGTTGCTGGTGAAGGAGCAAGGCGCCGTGGGGCTGGTCCGCGGATGGGTGCCGACTCTGATGGGATACAGCGTGCAGGGCGCTTGCAAGTACGGGTTCTACGAGTACTTCAAGAAGACGTATTCGGACATGGCCGGGGCCGAGGACGCCAAGAGGTTCAAGACGTTGATCTACTTGGGGGCGTCGGCGTCAGCGGAGGTGATCGCCGACGTCGGGCTGTGCCCATTCGAGGCCGTGAAGGTGAGAGTGCAGACGAATCCGGGATTCGCGAAGGGCATCATGGACGGGATGCCGAAGCTGATTGCGTCGGACGGCGTGGGCGGGCTGTTCAAGGGGTTGGTGCCACTGTGGTGCCGGCAGATCCCGTACACGATGATGAAGTTCGCGACATTCGAGAGCACGGTGGAGGCAATCTACAAGTACGCGGTGCCGGTGCCTAAGAGCGAGGTGTCATCGGGCACCCAGTTGGGCATCTCGTTCACTGCCGGGTACATTGCGGGAGTGGCGTGCGCCGTGATCTCGCACCCCGCGGACAACTTGGTGTCGTTCTTGAACAAGTCGAAGGAAGCAACGGTGTCGGGGGCGGTGAAGCAGATGGGGGTGAAGGCGTTATTCACTCGCGGGCTGCCGCTGCGTATCATCATGATCGGTACGTTGACGGGAGCGCAGTGGGGAATTTACGACTCGTTCAAGGTGTTCGTGGGTCTGCCGACGACGGGCGGTGTGGTGGAGGAGCCCAGGAAGTTAGCGTAGGGGGTAGTAGCGTAGAGCTGGAGGCATCGTGAGGAGCAAGCACAAGACGGTGAGGACTGGAAGGCGTTTTTCTTGAGCAGCCAGGGGACAGAAAGGAAGCATAGAAGGATGCGAGTCATTCGGGGCACCTTGCGGGAGCAACGAGAGGGGCGCGTGGGATATGTTTGTGATATCCTGTGGCGTGAGGCGAATGTTTGGGTAGGCAAGATCGAATAGGTCAGGAGTAGATTCAGGAAGAGCGAAGGTTATGGCAAGTCCCCTTGTACTTGTGGGAGCTAGCATCGGCGAGCAGAGGTAATAGGGTTGAGAATAGATCCGACGAGATGGTACATTCAATTGAGGACATATGACACGCTGGTGTTGTCGCTTTGGTGACGATGGTATTATTTTTGAGGTGAGATGAGAGATAAATCAGAAGTCGACGAAGCGCAGGCTGAACATGCGCTGACATCACGGGTCGGCAGTTTAGTAGAAGGCTACACGAAATTGCGTAGTTGGGTGATGCTTAAATGTGAACTCGGCTTGGCAATGCAGTGTTTTGTGCTACATGGGCACACGCTAGATGGTCATTCTGCACATATATGCTGTGTGGGTAAGTGGCAGATTGTTGTGCTGTAGAGGGCGTGATATTGCGCTAATCTTGCACATGATGTGAAGTACTAGAGCTGGGTCTGATTAAAATTTTCACGGGCGTCAGTAAACGTTCGTGTCAGTAATCTGGAATCATGTCATAGCGCAAATCGTTGTATTCATTCAAGTTCCAAGTGTGAAATGATGAATGTAAACTTAGGCTTTCGTAAAGAAGGTGCTTTGCTTGGTGATCGTCTCTGGGACATCTTCGGTGCTAGTGTAACTTGATTACTCTGATGAGTTTCTGCCTTTTCAGTTCTCCTGGATTTGAAAAGCTACCATAGAAGCACCTACCAGAAAATAATGGTCAAACATATCAATTTCCAGCACGAACCAATCTTATTTTTTTAAAAAATTTTAAACACAGTTTTGAGATAATTCATGTGTTTTTATTTTATGATTTTTAATGAATAAACAAATAGAAGGGGTTGATTTAGTTCTAATAAATTAACAACTTCGAATGAATAAGCCACGTCATCAAATATTTAGTTCATTTGTTGAATCTGTTCTGATCTCAAGAAAAGATTAAAAAAAATTATTGTAACAAAATATAATAAATTATAATTATGTAAGGATTATATATATATATACATATACATATATATATATATATATATTGGTGACATAAAAAAGTAATAATTATACATAAAATTAACATTAAAATTATTGAAATATTGACCTAAATAAGCAGTATTAATATTATTGAAATTTAAATTAATAGTAGAAAGAGAATATTGTCTTATAATTCTATTAAGACCAAATAATTTTAATCATAGTTTGATGATTATTTCAGATTATACTGTATTTAAATTATAATGTTTATATTATATTTAAAATTTTTTCTATCTTTAATTATGATTATATGCATTTCCAAAAAAATCAATTAAGTAATAAAAATTACAGAAATATGTAATTTTTGAATAATCATGAAATCATACAAATTGAGATTGACTACAAGATCCTTGACAAAGAGCTTCTTACAATTATGGATTCATTTGAAGAATAATGTCATTATCTAGAAAGTGCTTCAAAGTAGCTAAAGACTTTAAACAATCATGTGACATTTGTTTAAAATCAAAAATTCCTTGTTACCAACTTTATACACTTCTTTAGCTATTACCTATTTTAAAACAACTATGGTCTTTTATTTCTATGGATTTTATTACAAATCTTTTAGTCTTATGTTTGTATGATTCTAAATTTGTGATAATAGATGATTTTACTATAATGACACATTTTACATCATATACAAAATCTATCACAAATGAAGAAACATCTAATTTTTTTCTTAACAACATCTATCGCTATCATAGATTGCTCAAGAATATTATATCAAATAGGAAGATTCAATTTGTATTAAGATTTTGAAAAATCCTTTTTAAGATTTTAAAGATAGACATAAAATTTTGTTTGATCTTTCATCTTCAAATTGATGGATAGATAGAATGCGTAAATAAATTTTTGAAATAATATTTAAGATGTATGTCACGGATATATACATTTATCTCAATAATTACTTACATGTTTAGGTAGAAGTAGGTAAATATAGATTAATTTCATAAAGTCTTTTAGTAAAGCTTTCTAGAAGCTTCATAGACTTGATTTTGACTTTAGATGTGTTTGTAGGTTGAAAATTTGGCCAACAAGTTAACCACATGTTGGTAGCTTGTGGAACAAGTTAACTCCACATAGTAGCTTGTAGAACAAGCTAACCATGTGGCGCATACATAGATAACTTGCCTTGCAAGTTAAGACATGTGACTAATGAAGTCAATATGTTTTGGAGGTCTTATAGGACATCGCCACGTACCTCCTAGTTCAGAGTATATATGGAGGCAAGAGTGAAGCCTTCTTCACTCTTGTCAATGCCGTTGTAGTCCTTAGTCTTGTTTCAAGACTTTCTAGTCTTCTTGTTTTTAGCAATAGCCATTTTAATTAATATTATATTACCTTTTGAGTGACTTTCTAGTTTTTCTCAGTGACTTGAGAGTGTATCGAGGATTTTTTTTATTTGAAATTCATATCTTTGATAATTTAACAAGATTCCTAATATATTATTTTTGTCTTGTTTTAGAAGTGAGTGGATTACCTCAATTCTATTGTTGTATTTTGAAGGTTGCGGACTACCCACTTTTTAAATTAAAAAAAAATCTTATTTTTTAATATTGATCTTTCCTTAAGAGAGTGGATTATCCTTCTTTGTGGAAATTTTTATTAGAGGTTGTGGATTACCCTCCTCTAATTTAACTTTTTGAATTTTTTTGAGTTGTCTATGAAAAGAAAGATTATGGATACTACACCTAGCGGAAGTGAGAATAAATTTGCAACTATTGCAGATCTTTATGAGCTTATCAATACTCTTAGAGTGAAAATTTCACATATTTCTAACGTGAATTATAGAAGCACTATACCTATACTTTTAGAAGAAGTTCAAAGTCTATGGCAAGAAGTTGTATAATTGAAGGAAGCAAGTAGATCAACCTCACAATCAAATCCAGGGAGTTTTGCTTCTACAAGTATGACAAGGACAAAGATTATTATGCTTGAGAAGTTTGATGGAATAAGATCAAAATTTCAAGGATTTTTGTAAGAAGTCGAGCTCTATCTAAGATTGCACCCTTTCCAATACCTTGATGGATTTATTCAAGTTGAATTCATAGGCGCACTTCTATCAAGAAGTACTTTCTCTTGGTTTGTATTTTTAATGGAAAAATATTTATGAATCCTTTATGATTTGAATTCATTCCTAAAAGTATTTACGGCCATTGAAAACGAATAGCAAAGACCAAACTCTTATCTTTACGACAAGAATCATGATCAATCGCTACATGCTGAATTCCAAAACCTTGCTTGTGATATGGATTGGAATGACAAAACACTCATCAATCAATTTTGATATGGATTAAAAGATAGTGTCAAAGATTTGTTATTAATAATGCCAAAAGTAAAATCTTTAGAACAATTTATTGCTCAAGCCATTCCATAAGACAATCGATTATTTGAAAGGTGTCAAGAACAAAGACTTGGCTGAAGAGAAATAAGTCAAGTACTGGCAGCAACTTCCAAGTTTTCTGAAACATATTCATCAAGGCTGGAACCAATGCAAATTGATACGATACATTTTAAAACTCTCACAAAGCAAGAAAAGACTCAATGTTGCTAAGCAGGTTTATGTTTATATTGTGAAGAAGCTAAGCACAATGCTCAATTTGTCCAAAGAAGCAATGGAATTACAAAATGAAGAGCACAGTTACCAAAGAAGATAATGTGTCAAAAAACAAGTTTCTCCAACTGCAATAGGGACTATGTCTCTAGAATCATATGTAACACCTAGTACAGGTCCTATTCTCTCCTCAGATCCATCATCTTGTTTTATAATAGATGTGTGTTAGGACCTAAAAATCACAAAGTCTTTGCTTTATTAGATTCAAGAGCCTTAGTCTATTTTATAGATGAAGATTTTGTCAAAAATCAAAAAAATATCTTTAGTCAAGAAAACTAAATCCGTACATGTAGAAGTTATAGATGGTCATTTGTTGTCTTTTAGAAATATTATCCATGAGGCTATTCCTTTAGATGTAACAATTAAAGATCATAATATAATAGTAGTATTTAATGTAATAAGATCTACCTCCAATTTTTTTATTTTAGGATTATCATGGCTAGAAAAATATAATTGTGAAATAGATTGGATTTCTCATAACCTTAACTTTTTTGGTAGTATAATCCAAGATCGAGTTAGCAAAAGAGAAATTCAAAGTCTAATACTTCCAAACCTTTACTGATAGGTGCAAGAGCTTTCATGCATGCTACAAAAGAAAGATTATCTTTTGCTATATATACTATACCCATTTCTAATGGTAAAAAAATGTCATGTGGTATTCCTAGCCAATATGAAGAATTCTAAGACATTTTTTAAAAGAAGAATGTAGATATTCTTCAAAAGCACCAATCTTAAGATTGTTCAATTGATTTGGAAGAAAGAACTCAACCACCATTTGGACCAATCTATAGCTTATCGCAGAATGAGTTGGCTGCATTAAAGGAATACATAGATTAGAACTTGGCAAAAAACTTCATATGCTATTCTAAATCTCCAGCCAGAGCTCCTATCTTATTTGTGAAGAAGAAAGATGGATCTCTACGGATGTGTATGGATTATCAAGGATTCAATAAGATCGCCATCAAGAATAGGTATCCTTTGCCATTGATTTTATGACTTCTTGATCAACTCAATCAAATAAAGATCTATATCAAAATGGATCTACAAAGAGTATACAACTTAGTTCATATCAAAAAAAGATATGAATGGAAGATTATTTTTTGAATTAAGTAAGGACATTTTGAATATAATGTCATGTCTTTTGGATTCACGAATGCATCAACCACTTTTTAACATCTTATGAATGATATTTTTCATGAGTTTCTAGATGATTTTATTGTTTGTTATTTAGACGACATTCTAATCTACTCTAAGAGCACAAAAGAATATGAACTTTATGTTCATTGTGTATTACAAAAACTTAGAGATGTAGGATTATATGCCAAGTTAAAAAAGTATATATTCTACACTATTCAAGTTGACTTTTTAGGGTATATCATTTCCAACGAAGGCCTTATAATGGATCCTAAGAAGGTCTAAATTATCATAGATTGAAAGATTTCAAGAATAGTAGAAGATGTGCAATGCTTTTTAGGCTTTGTTAATTACTACCGAATCTTCATCAAGAACTTTTTTCAAGTTTCAGCTTCACTTACATATTTGACTTATAAAGTCAAACTTAACTAGAATAAAGAAGCACAAGCATCATTTGATGCTTTAAGGAAGAAATTTACTTCTGCACCAATCTTATATTATGTCAACTTTTCTAAGGTATTTTTTATGGAAATAGACGTGTCAAACTTTACTATAAAAGTCGTGTTATGACAAATGAGAATAGATGACAAAATCTATGCAGTAGCTTTCTATTCCAAAAAATTTTTAACAACCGAGATTAATTATGAGATCTATGGCAAAAAACTCCATGTAATAGTGGATTATTTTAAGAATGGCATCATTATCTAGAAGGCGCTTCTAGTCCAATCACCGTATATATGGATCATAAGAACCTTGAGTACTTCATGTCAGCACATCTTTTGAATCATTGTCAAATCCATTAGAGCATGTCTTT